AGCTACAGTCCTTAACTGTCCAACAGCTACACCCATTAACTGTCCAACAAGTACAACCATTAACTGCCCAACAAGTTCAACCATTAACTGTCCAACAAGTACAACCATTAACTGTCCAACAAGTACACCCATTAACTGTCCAACAAGTACAACCATTAACTGTCCAACAAGTACAACCATTAACTGCCCAACAAGTACAACCATTAACTGTCCAACAAGTACAACCATTAACTGTCCAACAAGTACAACCATTAACTGTCCAACAAGTACAACCATTAACTGTCCAACAAGTACAACCATTAACTGTCCAACAAGTACAACCATTAACTGTCCAACAAGTACAACCATTAACTGTCCAACAAGTACAACCATTAACTGTCCAACAAGTACAACCATTAACTGTCCAACAGCTACACCCATTAACTGTCCAACAGCTACACCCATTAACTGTCCAACAAGTACAACCATTAACTGTCCAACAAGTACAACCATTAACTGTCCAACAAGTACAACCATTAACTGTCCAACAAGTACAACCATTAACTGCCCAACAAGTACAACCATTAACTGCCCAACAAGTACAACCATTAACTGTCCAACAAGTACAGCCATTAACTGTCCAACAAGTACAACCATTAACTGTCCAACAAGTACAACCATTAACTGTCTAACAAGTACACCCATTAACTACCCAACAAGTACAACCATTAACTGTCCAACAAGTACAACCATTAACTGTCCAACAAGTACAACCATTAACTGTCCAACAAGTACAGCCATTAACTGTCCAACAAGTACACCCATTAACTACCCAACAAGTACAACCATTAACTGTCCAACAAGTACAACCATTAACTGTCCAACAAGTACAACCATTAACTGTCCAACAAGTACAGCCATTAACTGTCCAACAAGTACACCCATTAACTACCCAACAAGTACAACCATTAACTGTCCAACAAGTACAACCATTAACTGTCCAACAAGTACAACCATTAACTGTCCAACAAGTACAACCATTAACTGTCCAACAAGTACAACCATTAACTACCCAACAAGTACAACCATTAACTACCCAACAAGTACAACCATTAACTACCCAACAAGTACAACCATTAACTGTCCAACAAGTACAACCATTAACTACCCAACAAGTACAACCATTAACTGTCCAACAAGTACAACCATTAACTGTCCAACAAGTACAACCATTAACTGCCCAACAAGTACAACCATTAACTGCCCAACAAGTACAATCAGTAACTGCTCAGAAAGTACAGTCATTAATTGTCCAAAAATCACGTCAATTTCCGCCATCCACATCAATTATAATTGTGGAATACTTTACCCAGGATGGTTGGAGCCAGGAGTTGAAGGCGTATTCCATCTTCAGTCCATCTTTCAGCCGCGATATTAACTGTCTTGAGAACTAATATCGTCCTCCGGGGGAAGAAAACCCAGTAAGCAAGCGTGGTTCTTCCTGTTCTAAACACGATATAAGTTTTCAGGGTAGTTAATCTACTAACAAATTGGCTTAATGGAAGCAGCAACACGCTGAGTAAACAACTTTATGAAAATTAATATTGGCGTCACGCACATGTGTATTAAATGCGCACGCGCCCACTTAAAGGGTCACTCGCGCATACACACGGAAAAACACACATACATAAACATGCACGCGCGACCACGCATGCACAACACAAACAATGCACACACAGACGCGTTCTCTCTCTCTCTCACACACACACACACGAGAACACACCCATGCTAATTTCCACATTTCCCCTTGGAACTTAATCACTATTTTCTACCACCTTTCTCTCCCAGCCCCTAAACCCCACACATCCCGCTGTGTCACACCCTCATCCCAACCCAGTGCCTCACACACATCCACGCACCCCCCCCTCCTGCTTTTTCCACACCCCAAATCCATCCTGAAGCCAACCTAAACAAAGGGTAGAAAACCAGCCAATCGGAGGACAGGACAACAATAAAGGCAATGATGATCTGGTACACCAATGCTGATGGGCTGTCACATTAAGCATATGAACTCAGAGAAAAGACTGATGAAACAGATCCTGATGTACTAACATTAGTGGAAACCAAACTATCTGGTTTGATTAGCAATGCAACATTCCCAAGGGAAGAGTAGATAATGAGAAGTGAGAGACTTCAGGAAGCAGGCGATGAGTCACAATAACGTGGCTGAAGTATGTTGACCAAACCACACACTAGAAGGTGAAGGGACGACGACGTTTCGGTCCGTCCTGGACCATTTTCAAGTCGATTGTTGGCACACTTCAGAAAGTGTGCCAACGTTGGTAAAGAGAAACTGGATCTTTGAAGGAATTTCAGTGGAGGTGGCAAACAACAACAACAGGGATTGTATTGTGGGACTCTTCTCATTACGTACACAGGAACTCGGAGAATGACAGAGAAACAATACGAGAATGACATTGCATACACGGCTATGTTCCATACAAAACTGTTCCAGTCACACCAGGAGGAAGATGACAGTGAATGATTGGATTATCAGACTTGACAAAAATTAGAGAGGACACAGAAAATGATAAGGAGGTATACGAAGAACTTAACAAAGGTTTCAGGAAGTATTCAAGCTGGAACCTGATTTGCCACTAGAGCGTAGAGCTCAAAGCAAACGGGCAATTCCACAGGAAAGCCCCACTGAAATAAGTCACCAGAAGAAGTAAAGGAGTAACTACAGGAATTGTTACGAGTGGAGTACTATAAGGACCGGGTCTAGGGCTCATCCTGTTTCTAATATATGTCAATGACCTGCACAGGAAATTCGCTCCATCATATCAATGTTTGTAGAAAATACAAAACTGATGAGAAGAAACAGGACAAAGAGTGTGAAACATTGCTAACGGAATTGGACAAAGTCTAGAAGTGGTCTGAAAAATGGCCCCTAGACTTTAACCAAGCCATATGCAAAGTTATATGGATTGGAACAGGAGTGCAAAGACTGGTACAACAGTATAGGATGAAGGGAAGACTGATTCTTCAATCAGCAAAGGAGACAGACCTCGGAGTGGACGTAACTCCATATCTGATGCAAGAAGTCCAATGCAGAATAGCAACAGCTGCAGTTGGCATACTGCCCAACGTCCGTGTATCCTTCAGCAACTTGGTCAAAGAGACCTTCCGGGCTCTATATAGAGCAAAGGTGAGACCCGCACAGGTTGGGGAACAAATGTTACACTCACACTTGTTGGACAAGCAGAAACCAGAATAGGTCCAAAGATTTGCAACGAGACTCGTTCCTGATCTGAAGGATTGAGCTATGAGGAAAGACTGAGAGAACTGGACCACACTGGAGGAAAGGGGAGACAGAGGGAATATGGTAATAACATATAAAATTCTAAGGGTAATTAACGAGGAAGACAAAGCAGCAGTGTTCAAAGCTATGAACAGCGGAACGAGGGAACGAGGGGTCAAGGAAGTAAACTGAAGACGCAAATTAGCCACAAAAATGTCACAAAGAACTTTATCAGTGTCAGAGCTGTCAATAAGTGGAACAGGTTAGACGTAGAGGCCGTTGAAGCTATTCACTTCAACGTTTTCAATGTAAATATGACAAAAACGTGAGAAATGAGTCATTGTATTAATCTAAGAATGTTCAGAAGGCGGGGCCAGGAGCCTAGTTCAACCCTGCAGAACTTTTTCAGTGTCAGAGTAGTTTAGTTAACAGATGGAATGCATTAGGCAGTGATGTGGTGGAAGCAGACTTCATACACAGTTTCAAATGTAGATATGATAGAGCCCAGTAGGCTCAGGAATCTATACACCAGTTGATTGACGGTTGAGAGGCGGGACCAAAGAGCCAGAGCTCATCCCCCCGTAGCACAACTAGGTGAGTACACACTATCTCTTGCACATGCACATACACAAGAGGACAAACTCACACGCAGATGCGCGCGTACACACACACATGAAGATGAAAAAGCAACTGAATCGCAGACAGGCAAGCACGCAGGTAGAAATTATATGGATAAATTATACATGAGAATAATTTAAGCAATTCAGAAAATCTTCACCAAACCTTGAGAGTGACTCTCTGCCAGACCTCGCCTTCTCCACATTCCCCACCATCCACTCCTCTCCACACTCCTGCCACACCCTCCCACCTCCACCTGGACCTCTGCCCTCCCCGTCCACCCGCCACGGGGAAACACCCATAATCCACTACTGCAGTAGACGTCTTCCGTGCTCTAACCTAAGACGTTTATTTATCCCAAGATATCTTCCCCATCCTCAAGTCACAGCAACATCAGAAGGCATTTTTCAGTAGTATGTATTACTGGGACAGAGCTCCGGGGGGTGTGGAGTCACAGAACCTTACCCGTGAGGTAGAGAGGGAGAGACATGTGAGGTAGAGAGGGAGAGACATGTGAGGTAGTGAGGGAGAGACATGTGAGGTAGTGAGGGAGAGACATGTGAGGTAGTGAGGGAGAGACATGTGAGGTAGTGAGGGAGAGACATGTGAGGCAGTGAGGTGCCTGGTGGTGGTGTGAGAGACGACCAAGGCTGCTAGACAAACTTGACAACAAAGCTGGTGTAACTAGACAAGCACTAGGGCGAATAGGTTTATCTCTCGGGTAGGAAACAGGTGGTAACGGTGAGGAGAAATCAGAGCGGCTTGAGGTTACCAGTGTCATGAAGCTCGTTAGTAGGGCCACGGGGCTCGTTAGTAGGGCCACGGGGCTCGTTACTAGGGTCACGGGCTCCTCAGTAGGGCTCCGGGGCTCGTTAGTGGGGGCCATTCAGTTCCTAATACGTGTCGAGGAAATAGGATCATACACATCTCTAGTTGCGGAAGAAGCAAATCAAATGAGAAGAGTTAAAGGCGAAGACTACTGCGGGTGATAAAAAAACATTTTTTTGCAAGATTTCAACCGTAACAAATAAAGGTAATTTACGACATTATATACAACCTATGTAAAACTGGTTCTATATAATGCATCATTACCTTGCATTTGTCAGGGTTGAAGTCTAGCAACCTTTTTTTTAATATACTTGAATATACAGTCCCAGTCTGGAGAACCCACATGAAACACAGAAAGTAAAACTTGGACAAGTTCAGAAGTATAGGACAACGACGGTCTTAGAACTTTGGGGGATTCTGTTACACCGAGGTGCTGAGGAAACTTAACCTCACAAAGTTGGCGGAAAGAAGTAACACGGGAGACATGTTCACAGCGTACAAGATATTGAGGATAATTAGCAGAATAGACAAAGCCCAGAGTCGGAGGAATGTCAGGCAATACTTCACAAGTGGAAGCGTTGCCAGCAAGTACAAAGAACTAAAAAAAAAAAAGCTATTATACAGGCAAGCTCAAAAAGCCATTTCCAAAGGAAGTAACCGATGAATATATGGAATAAAAGTCATTGCATTAACGAACCTAGAGATGAAAAGGTGAGGCTAGGGAGCTGGAGTTCGATCCTGCAAGCACATACAGGTGAGTACAGGTGGTAAAGCTGAGATATTAGCCCCGGGCGAGCAGCCAAGCGTACAAACCGAAGAGTTAATGCTATCGTATAAACATAAAACCCTTGTTAAGCCAAAGAAGCTCAAAAATTAATGCAAATTGGAGCGAGCGTCGGTTGTGAGGGTGGTGGGGGGAGGGGGGGGGGGCGTGGGGGGAGGGAGGGGGGGAGGGTTGGCACACATCACCTGTCTTCACCCCATTTAATCCCCAAATGTAAGACGCGGCCAGTTTTTGCATCACACTGATGAAAAAAATCATATCACGGATCTCTTGGTATTTCGCGACACAAAACTGACTTTTACAAAGTGGAGCGACGGAACGAGTATTAGGGAGAGGAGGACGAGGAGGAGGAGAAGGAAGACGAAGAGGAGGAGAAGGAGGGGGAGGAGGAGGAAGAAGACGAGAAGGTGAGAAGGAAGAGACAATATAAAAGAAGGGACATAAGCACAAGGAAAACAGTATAAGACCTATTGCCTGACCTTACCAGGTCACTCGTATTTACCCATCCACACCCAGCCATATACACCACTAACCCTAACCTAACCCAGCGGTCCAGCGGCTGGTATCTACCACCTGTAATTTCCTCCATAACTCTCAAAATGGTTCCCAACCAGGAGGAGGACGAGGAGTCAGAGAGGAAAATTGTAAGAGGAAAAGATGGCAGAGGAAAATAACGAGACGTGAAGCCACAAAGTTCCGTGTATTTCCCCGAGGCCTACGACCCTCGCAGCCTACCTTACCTTGCCATGATTTTGGGTCTCAACGTCCCCGCGGCCCGGTCCCCGTTCAGTCATCCTCCGACTAGGCGTAGGAGGGTGGGAGCAACTGCAGGAATCGGAGAGGTATCAATATTTGAAAGTGTACATAATGCCAACAAGAACAGCTGAGACCCACAAACAGGATACCATCGGCCGGCCCCTTGGTACCTTACATTCACAAGGCCTCGTTGGACTAAAGTATTTGAGACAGTGAGCCACAATAACGAGGCTGATGATATGATGACCCAACACACATCAGAAAGAGAATATACAGTCTTATTCATTCATCCTATTCTTACCTATACCTGCTCCTCACCTCACTCTCTTATCTGCTCCTCACCTCTCTCTTATCTGCTCCTCACCTCACTCTCTTATCTGCTCCTCACCTCTCTCTCTCTTACCTTATTTTTGCCTGTATGTTGTTGTTTTAGATTCAGCTACTCAGAACAAAAAGTTCCAAGTAGCACTGGCTATGGTGAGCCCGTAAAAGGTTTGCATGAATGTTGTTAAAGATTTAGCTATTCAGGACGGAGTGTCCATGTAGCACGGGCTATGGTGAGCCCGTAAGTTTTTTTGCATGAACCTTTCTCTGTTCTTTATAACACTTACGGGCTACTCATGCCCGTGCCACCTTTTGGGTGGCTTACTCTTCAGCTTAAGCTTGATAATGGCCGGGAGAGACCGCAAGGTCATCATTTCATCATTTTCTGATGTGTGGGTTGATCATCATAAAGTATTGGAATTAAGAAGACAAACTACGTGGACAGGTTAAGACAATTCACTGTCACATCCTTAGACAAGGGAGTGCAAACTCAGGATATGTTCACTACATACAAGATACTGAGGTTAAAAATATGAAAATCAAGGACAAAATATAACAAGAGAACATTGGTGGAAGATGGAAAGGCAAATGAACCAAAGAAATGTAAGGAAACATTTACCCCTGAATGGTGGTCAAGAAATGGAATATACGAACACAAGTTGTGAAAGCCACCGCCCAACACGAACGCCACGAAAGTCAACAAAAACACTACCTAACAGTAGACACTGTTAGGTAGTGACTGTTGGGCAAGCAAAGAGGGAAGGGGACGAGGAAGAGAAGACGGGTGGAGGAGACGAGAGGAAGGAAGAGGTGTGGCGCAGCAGCCGACCAACAGATGAATGCCGAGAGGCGGAGACTGGATGCCAGCAGCGATCACTTGAGCTGCCAGGAGCAATGGTGGTCAGGAGGGAGGGTGGGGAGGTGCTGGGGGGAATGGGGGCAGTGAGGGGGGGGTGTGTGTGGGGGGGGAGGAGGGGAAGAAGGCGGAGCATCTGAATCTGAAACTTAAGGAGGGTAAGGGAAGGGGGGAGGGGGGGGGGATGAGAGAGAGTTGCCGGGAGACCCAGTGGGAGAGGGAGAGGGGGAGAGGGAGGGAGGCTGGTGAGGGGAAAAGATCACGCCGGCGCAGATGGAGAGGGGAGAGAGATGCTGGCGGGAGATGAAGAAAATGGCGGTTCGAGGGGAGGCTGGTCAATTTCCCCCATTTTCTGGAAAATGTTCCAATGGTTCTCATAGTTGATAAATCAGTATGTGACGCTGTCTTAGGTTGTGAGGACGGTGTCTTAGGTTGTGAGGACGGTGTCTTAGGTTGTGAGGACGGTGTCTTAGGTTGTGAGGACGGTGTCTTAGGTTGTGAGGACGGTGTCTTAGGTTGTGAGGACGGTGTCTTTGGTTGTGAGGACGGTGTCCGGTGTCTTGGTTGTGAGGACGGTGCCTTTGGTTGTGAGGACGGTGTCTTTGGTTGTGAGGACGGTGTCTTAGGTTGTGAGGACGGTGTCTTAGGTTGTGAGGACGGTGTCTTTGGTTGTGAGGACGGTGTCTTAGGTTGTGAGGACGGTGTCTTAGGTTGTGAGGACGGTGGCTTTGGTTGTGAGGACGGTGTCTTAGGTTGTGAGGACGGTGTCTTTGGTTGTGAGGACGGTGTCTTTGGTTGTGAGGACGGTGTCTTAGGTTGTGAGGACGGTGTCTTTGGTTGTGAGGACGGTGTCTTAGGTTGTGAGGACGGTGTCTTAGGTTGTGAGGACGGTGTCTTAGGTTGTGAGTGACGGTGGATCAGGTCATGAGTGAGTTTTGACAACAAAGGGGTTTTCATACACCGCCTCCCCTTGATCACAACTGTGCGCAACACAACACAACTGATCCCACCTTGATTAGACTGTGACACAGTGGTTGCCAGGATCAGGTTGGGTTACCGTGACCTGTGGCAGGTGGCTACAGGTGACGGGCCTCCCAATCCTGAGCACTCCAGAGGCAAACTCTGTGAGCAGGAACTGCGGCATGATCTCCCGCACTACATCACCGAATGCCCAGTTATCAGGCCATTCAGACCCGTTGGCGTGAGGTACCTGGAGCTTTGTAATTACTTTATTCACTCTCGTGTTGATGATGATATCCTCATAATGCACCCACAGTCTGCCAGTGCAGACTACGATCACATGGCTCTGTATGACTAACCATCCTGTGTGATGGGGCTAGTTCCACGTAGCTAGTTCTTGACACACACTGTACCCATTCATATAGTCTAGGGCAGCTGCACAAATACAGATGTACCTAAATGTGTTAAAAAACTAATTGATCATAATACAATGTTGACAGGACCAAGAGGTCTCCATTCACCCCCCGTCCAACCTGTGCCTCGCCTGATCACAACACAGTGTTGACAGGACCAAGAGGTCCCCATTCACCCCCTCCCAGCCTGCTACAACCTAACATACCACACACCCGGCCCAGTACAGTCAAATCTGCTTAAACAAATCCGCTAATAGGCATAATCCCCGCGGTAATACGCGAGCGGCGGTAATAAGCGCCGATAAACATGTCTGGCAGCGCTGTTTCTCTGGCACCAGCTGGCACTAACGCCCTCTACACACACACACGCATGCACGCACGCACGCACGCACGCGCACGCACACGCACACACACACACACACACACACACACACACACACACACACACACACACACACACACACACACACTTCACCTACTCCTGTACTAGAATAATTCCCGCCATCTGCACTCAGCACTGAGCATTGTACCACCTGTTGCCACCTAGCGGTACTGGTGATTGTGCCAGCTGCCATATATGAATAATGTGCTTGTTACTAGTCTAGCTAAGTTAAATTTTTGCTAACTAAACTTAGTGTCTAGCAGGGTCTAGTTAGACCTGTACCTACACATCAGTGACTAAGGGGCAGTGAGGTCCACCTCTCTATGCCAGCCTAATAGTGTTATTGTATCTGTTGCAATACAATTTAACTATTCTAACTGGCGAAAACCTTGTCATATCTGGTCTTAAATGTGTGTGTGGATGGAGGTGGCTTCCACAACTTCCTCCTTCAGTGTATTCCACTTTGTCGAACACCCTCACAGGGTACGAGTATTTCCTTATATTTCTTCGACTCACTCGCGTTTCCTGCTTCCACTTGTTGTGTTCTCTTGCCTTACTTGTTCGCGGTTTCAAGAGGTTATCCTTTTTCACCTTGTCTTAGGTTTGTTAATGACATCCCGTGTTAGCCAGCGAGCCATGAGCTGCTGATGTCATCCTGTCTATATGTGCCTCTGGAGAGTGTGTTCGGATTATGTGTGCAGATGAGCTTCGTGGCAACTGGGTAAGTGCCATCTGGTTTTAGTTCCAGCTGAGCTTAGTACCAGTTAAATTTAAGCTGTGATTTGGAGGCAGATGGGCTACGTTCCAGCAAAGCTTAGCGACAGCTGGACTAGCTACCAGCTGGTTTATGAGCTGTGTTAAGTACCAGCTGGGCTCGGTATCACCTGGATTTGTTACTAGCTTGACGCGTTACCAGCTGGGGTTATTAGCCTAACACCTGTCATAGGAATTACCTGTTCTTCGGTTCTTCCGGTTGCATTTACAGACAATGAGTGTAAGTCCCCGACTGGGGACACCAGTACCCCCTTTACCCCAGTATCCTTCCCCTCAACCCCCCCCCCCCCACTCCACTTCCCGAACATCACCCCCCTTCCTAATACCCCCCCCCCCCCCTCCACTTCCG